GTGGGAGGAGCAGTGGGTGTGACCTGATGGGGCGTGCACTCAACCGAGATCAAGTAATGGAATGGGCCAATTTCTTTGGATGAACATAATAGGTTTGATGGCGGCTTTCCAACAAATAATTGGGGTTGACACCGACACCGGTATAAAGTATATAGGTATATGTAACACTGCAGGTTGTCGATCCTCAAATCTTTTCCGTTGGTGCGGATGGTCAGAGCTCAGCCGCAGGAAACCACTGGCAAACTTCATTGCCAAAGACCATATATGTTCACTCGCGTTGCCCCTACACCCCCCCTTCTACATATAGCACCATCAAGATCATCAATTCAGCGAAAGAAATTACATATTGTTTGTGTATACTGATTTGGCAGAAACAATTGAAGCTGTCCATCCAAAGGCAGGGGCATACCTAAAGGCTGTCGCGAGATTCCATATATACAACCCCATATCTCAAAATGATGGCTCCAGCTCTCTACAAAGATGCATATTATGCACCATGCTCCGGTTCAGGCGACAGTTGTCCCAAACGGTACAGGGCAAGCAAGGCGTTGTGCTTGAGCTGCAAGTTCAACTCGCCATCCTTTTCGTAGGGCTCATGATTCTCGAATCCTGCTGCCTTATAGGAGCGTGCCAGATTGTTACACAATATATACTCTCTAAAAAAGGGGATCGTTTGCTTTAAATATGCAACCGCAAAAAGAAAGCTGCGTGTTGTTTTGTTTGTGCACGTGGTGGCATGCGTGTACAACATGCAATCATCCATCATGTGTTATAGAAGATGAAATCTCTACAACTGGTGGGAAACAGATCCTGATGTGTCCAGCGCATACTTGGCAAAAGCTAAGCTACAGAAATCATAGCACACTTGAGGGCCACAGTCATCTTGTGGACATCACAGGCCGAAGTTTGGTTGAAGGCAAAGTGAAGCACATCGTTTCCATCACAAAGGGAATGAACACCAACACCGGCCCTAGTCCAGTAGGCATTGATTCTGTATTCTGAGAACTTGTCCATCTTTCCCCGTGCAAGACCCTTAAACTTGTCACCTTTGATGGACAGTTTGGGATCAAACCCCGCCGCAAAGTCTGCAAGTTCAATGACCAGATCATCTTTGTACAAGGGAGATCCCATTTGCGCTGTCAACCAAGCCTCGTTTTGACCGTCTACCGTTACGCGCGGTCTTCCACGAGCTTTTGCCTTGGCCTTACCGCTGGCCTTTTTGCTGGCAGGTTCTTTCGGGCTGGCTTTCGCACCCTTCCCCTTGCTGCTTGAAGACTTTGCAGACTTGGCATTGGGTCTGGATGGAGCTGAGGGCTGTGCTTTGTCCTTTGTACGAGTTTTCCTCTTTGTTGTCGTCTCCTGGGTTGCCTTCGCAGCAGCTGAGCTAGAGCTTGCACTTGGTGTCTTTTTTGCGATCTTTGACTTCTCATGACCCTCACTGGCCTCAATGGCCTCATCCATGGCTGAATAATCTTGCGCTTACGGCTCACTCGTGCTTTCGTTGGCGGTTTCTTTCCCTTCCCCTTTCCTCCCTTTCCTCCCTTTCTTCCCTTTCTTCCCTTTCTTTTCTTCTTCCCACCTTTCTTGCCGCCTCTCTTTCTTTCAGTCTTCTTGCTAGATTTGAAGCGAAGCTGATCATCCCTAGTCAACAGCTCACGAGGTGTCTCCTTTGCCTCCTCCCCCTGGATTTTCTCCCCATTGCACATGGGCGCTTCCTCCTTCTTGGCCTCCATCTTGGCCTCCATCTTGGCCTCCATCGGTGAGTCACGGTTTTCCTCCGCTGCCTCAGCCAGGTGGTGGCTTGAAGTCCCATGCAAGAGGGCATAAAGGAAGGAAGAAGTAGGGTGTTCATGTCTTGACCCAATAATACCGAATACATAGTTCCCATAAACTTGCAACCCAAATTGCGGAGGGTAGTGAATACACTGTGGCCGTACCAGGAGCTGGCTTGCCAGAGGCGCGCTGGAACTGGTCTCGGCGTTTGTCGGAGGGAACATCGGGTGATGCAGACCGTGATAGAGAATCCGGAGCAACAACCTCCATAATGTCGTGCAGTGGCTGGGTCTCCACGTTGTCAGGAGCAACGCGCTGTGGACCTGTGGATGTTCCTGTCAGAGGTCATGTACTGCTTTGACAATCACGGGTGTTTCTTGTTCAGTTACACATGCACCAAAAAAGGAACACAAGTTGCATGCTCGTATCGATTTGTACACAACCCATGCCTTGGGGCGGGCTGGCATCCTCAGACTTCATCCGTTGGATGGCTTGTTGAAGACGCAGCTTCCTCTCTCGGATCCTGGTGAGGCAACATATTGAAGAACAATTGTAACAAGTACAAACGGGGGACACCTATATAGCGACTATTTACATCAATTTGGACATTCCCTGACAGTTTTTGCATCAGAAGATCTAAGCCCCTAACTGTTCCAAACGCCTTTGAGCTTCTGCCAACTGGCGGTTCTGCTCAGCAATAACAGAATCGCAATGTGCGTGTTGGCGACCTTGATGGGATTGGCATGCTGCATATGGCTTAGACACATGCAGCACAGGGTGAGTTCAAAGGTCCATCCACATGAAATGATGATATACAGGTTTCTATATGTACAGCCGGGATAGGGTTTGATTGCCAAGCCCCAGGCGAAGAGCTTCTTCTTCATGTTCCGGAGCTACAGGACCGGGGCCCTTCGTTTCCGACTCTTGCTGGAAAATGGGCCGAGAACCTGGGCTTGGGCTGCGAGGATGGGCATTTGGCACTTCAGTCGAAGAAGTTTCTGGTTGTCCTTCAATGTCCTTCCCTCGAATCTCCGCGTCAGAGCCAGACTCCTCATCGTCACTGCTCTCAGATTCAGAGTTATCATATGCATCCAAATCCTTTTCATGGTCCTGAAGCGGAGGGAAGCAACTTGTCTTGTATATATATTGGTTTGCATATTTCGTCCAGGAATCGACATCAAACACCCTGTGCACCGGTACCGGGAACCTGCCTCTAGATTCTCATGGCTGCCAACTTTCTCTTGCTGGGCCTTGTTGATCTCCCCACAGAGCTCCTGATCATGGCGCAAAAGGTGTTGAAACAATATAGCGCATATGCATGCAGTGATTATATGAAAAAGGGGATTCAATTGTTATATAATTGAAATGCACCCCCCTGTCCTCAAGTGTAGGGTTGAGGATGCAGCAGAGTTCTTGGAAGAGCTTTGACTCAGTTGGCATGGAGGAATAGTGACACAGATCTCTCACAATTCTCAAAGAGGTTTCTTTTCTGCAAAATAGCTGTTGCCACAACAAAACAATTCAATTTAAGATCATGAACTGGAAATTTATCATCAATGTTCATGGGTGTCATATATACTGATTCAGATGAGGGGCAGTTGAGACCAACTGCTTTCGAGTCTTCATCTTCACGAGGGCAAGGAACTTCCGAATGTACCAGCTGTCATCAATGATAGCCTTCTCATCCACAGTAGTGCGGCCAGCCTTTTGGTACAACAGACCTATTTGGTGCCTCAACTGTCGAACAGGTGGTTGCGGATGTAGCTCAACACCAGCAGTTCGTAGCAAGATCGGTTTCAACACCGCGTGGACGTGCGCATGTCCAACATGCTTGATACAAATGCTGATGTTCTCATCAAACAAGACTCTTGTGGAATCCGCTCGCAGATACTCTCTAATGACTTCTGCAGAATCCCATTCTTTGGCAAGATCACTGATGTCCACTTTTGGTTTTTTCGGAACCCTCTCCTTGACCATGGCTCCACAAATAGAAGCGTTTGTTGCTGACTCGGAGCGATTTGAGTTAAAGTGCTACACATGCATGCATGCACGCACCTTTTTGCATGCCCAACATGCACAATTGAAAAAGACATGCACTGAAAGTCATGCCTCCCAGTGTTGCTAATGTGTGCTCCCAACCCTCTTCCGGAAGATGCAGGACCGCGCCTTCGTGAAGTTGGGCTCTGGAGAAAAAGGGGCCATGGCTCTCTCAGGGTGCAAGGGATATGTGCTGGTGATTACTTACACAGTGGCCATCCTGTATGATAGTCAAGCCACACTTGCACTCACAAATAAAGATTGATAATCTGCACATTTGGGTTGTTTTGCAGGCAACTCTCAGACAAAGGATCATTTGCCTGTTTGTTCTGTTGGTGACCAACAAAACCCCGCGACCCATATGGCCATGCAGCCATCGACTGCTTCTTGATCCACAGCGAGGGAGTGGTAGATCTTGAACTGGCCTGAAAGTGCAGCTGGCATGGGGCAATGACTCTTTAGATAATCTCCCATGGTTGATTTATAGGTTCTTGATGGAAAACCCGGTTTTTGAGACGGTTCTTGACAATAACCAGGTTCTTGATAAGGAACCTACATTTTTATAGGTTCTTGGTTCGCTAGGTATATGCCGCCCCATTGACCCCCCAAAACCACTAGCCGCTAATGTAGGCAATATATGCCAGTCCCATGGAGTGTCTGGGAGTGACTCCTAGATCGTTTTCTTGATTGTGGGGAAGTCCTGTGTGCCATCACACGGATGTTCACTACTGTTTGCACCTCTGCCTGGCTGGGAGATGGTTCATAACTCTACAGTGTCAGGTTAAGGTGTGGTACAAGTAGATACTGGTAGGCATCTTGGTGGTTGCAAACCACGCAGGTTCTTCCCAACGTGTACAGCAAGAAGATTAACGGTCTGAATCAAAAGAAACCAACCGAAACCACCCTCACCCCTGCTGGCCTTTTCCTTCCCTCGCGGTTCCTCACAAGCCGCCAAAAAAAATGGATCCTGGCCAGACCAGAAGGCTTGAGACGCTTGGGTCAGCAACCACACAGGTTCGGACCCAGCAACTCCACCAGTCACTCGTTCGGTCGCGTGGCTTCCATGGCCTTCTATATTGGACGGTCACTCAGACCGTTGTATGGCCTGCTGCGAGGGTTTTAGCTCCTCATTCTCGCAAAAAATTGTTAGCCTATTTCTCCCCACCATCCACTATATACGTCCAGGTGACAAATACCTCGAGCACTGCGCCAGGGCGGGGTTCCACCGCTCGGAAGGCAGCTTCCACGACTTCCACGTGCCGCACGCCGCGTCTCTGATCTGCAGCCGCGCCGACGTTCCGCGGGGGTGACCCAGGAGGACCAAGCGATGAAGGCTTGGATGGTACAAAGCACTGCAATCACCTGGGACAGGTGGCAGACTGGGCCCTGGCTGAATGATAAGAGATGTTCTCAACAGCAGATTATTTGGGAACTTGAGCCGTGGCTGAATCTCAAGGAGCAGTGGTTGACCAAGAACGTCGGCCAAAAACTCTGGGCGCTAAAATCATCATGTTAGACTGTTAGACATTTAAAGGGATGTAGATGGTGTAGGCTTAGAGACTGATGGATTGATGAGTCACACATGAGGAATGGAATTTCAAGGACCCTAGTAGAGGGCCGCGAAGGGGAGAGATCAACATCATCCAACATCCAACGGTCCCAGCTGGGTCACTGAGAGCTTCTGGCAAAGGCTTTCTGCATTCCCAGCTGCAACTGGCAATATCTGCAGCATGAGTGACAAAGCATCAAACGTGAATTTGCTTCAGCCTCTTTGCAATACGTGAGCGCTGTCAGAAGCAAAGGAAGAGAACATGAGACCACAATGTTGCTGGCAGGGGTGTTTCACCTTCTACAGGTCCAAAAATCAGTCCAGTAAACCTGGTCACCGGGTCTCTTACTTCAGTGAACAATGTTTGAATATGCTCAACTTCAGGCTTTTGACCTGCAGGGTTCAGTTCTTCCCTTGTGGTCAGGAGTCTAAAAGGTGCTCATTTTGGGGCAAGTTGGCGCTCCTCCTGGTGAGAGCAAAGCCTCCACCACATCCAACGGATGTCCGTCTTGACCTCCCAGCACCTTCCAAGCACTGAGCAGCAATGGTTACCACCACCACCACCACCACCACTGCCGCTGCCCAGCTACAAAGGGGGACACTATACACTCCACAAAACAAGGAAAACATCACACCTGGTGGTTGTAAGATGTTGTAAGGGCCCCATCTTTCTGAAAGGCTACAAAAAATAAGGCAAAGCACCATTCCCAGAATTGGTTGGAGGAAACACCTACAGGAAACCTAGAGTTTTAACACCAAACCTGGAAACCCATGGTTTTGGATATTTTTTTGGGTTACAACCATGGATTTGTGTGGATTTTCCTTGATGACCTGAGACCCCTGAAGGTGAGACCCCTATACAACCCCCAGGATCTTGTGGACATGTGGGGTCATCATGGAAGGTTCAATCACCTTGGTGGGATGGTTGCACTGCAGGTGATCCAACATATACATGGCAGAATTGCAGGGTGGCGGGGTGGGGAGGCTAATAAATAGTCGAGCGGGTGAAAGTCTTGAATTGCACTGTTGCGGCATCGGGGAGAAACAGCTTGGTGAGGCAGCATGGCGTGATTAGGTGGAGTGTTTCATAATGAGACAGTGTGCAGAATTTGTAGCTTGAGATTGCTGGAATGCCTCCACGGAACCAAGCAAATGGCATGCAATCCTGAGTTGTAATTTATGCATGAGAGTGTTTGCAAACATACTCCGAGGAGCTAGCAAGCAATCTTCTGCGCCAACCGCTGCACAGTGGCTCCTAACGTGTGCAGTTGGAGGTCCATTCACTCTTCTCCTTTTGAAAAACACCCATGTGATTGCTGAGAGAGAGAGAGGGGTGGAAACAATTCGATTCGGCACTGTACATAGTTCTGGTCACAATATGTTCAATCTTGAGCACGTAGATTATCATAGATGTTCTCAAAGGGTGTAAACTTATGGTTGGGGATTGGTTGCTTTGGACCCAGTAGCAGCGTTCTCACAGGGCAGCCTTTCGATGTGTTGCAAGGTCTGACTCTGGGTGCGTTTCCGCGGCTGCCATGGATTAGTTTTGGAGTTTCATTAGATGTTTCGAATAACTTACAAGGCAAAGAATGAAGGTGCTCCCTGAAACGGTGTCCGCGCTCTCTCTCTATTATTTACCCATTGTCACAATAGACAGCTGTGGGAACTTCTTGCTGAGTGGGGGTGAGAGGCAGGGAAAAACCTTCCATACATGACACTCATCCAACACCCATCGTGCATGGGGGATATGGGGACCATTTTTTGTGGGTGCTACAAAAGTGTTCAGCATGAATGTCGGCAAACCACATGTCCTGTGGGAGGAGGCCAAATGCCTCACCCAGCAAAAACACAACAAACAAAAGTCTATACTTCCACTAATTGGTTTCTCAATATTGAGGTTTCAAGGTGGTAGCGATCGGCCCAGGATCGCCTGGCAATAGCCATGGATGGGAGCGACTGCCAGCAACGGGAGCTGAGCTCCAAGGATTGAGCGAAGGGCACGCAGCCCTCGAACCATGGGCCGCTACCACCTGAAGAAGCGTAAAAAGGGACCGAGCGAAGGTAACCACTGGGCATCCAAACAGAGCAATTGAAGCTGTTCATTCCCCAGAAAAGTGGCGGTGCATGTTTGTGTGTATATATATATATTGACGCGAGCAAATTCCATTTGCACCACATACAGCTTGCAACGATTGTGTCCTCGTACTGGAACATGGTTTATATATTAAACATGTTGGTGCTATACTACTGCTGAGAAGTGCCAAAGCACTCTGCGTACGGGGCCAGCACTGGCCCCAACAGTAGGTCAAAGAAAAACGATTGAACGATGGTCACTTCTGACATCTTGCAGATGTGCATGGTGAATTCCGGTCAAAACACCATTCACAGGAGACACTTGCATGACCTTTCATGCTCTGATCAAGACACTTCCGATGTACAAGTGCAAGTGTTCCTTCCCCATGTTCAAGCGTGCTTTCGCTCATGTGCTGATGAGGGGCCCACAACAAAGAGCTGCTCCATGAAGAAGCTTGCTGCGCAGTTGAGATATGTTGGTGCCCCCTGGTCTAGGTGAAAAAAACACGTCGCAAATCCCTAGAGCGGCACAGAAAAAGGGGCCGTTGCGGCACCGGTCTCGGTGGGCCGCGTGCGAACAATTGGGAACACATTTGAATAATTGAACCAAAGCATCTCCAAAAAACAGAGGAAACATCTTGACCAATTAGAACAATGCTGTTCTAAACCAATTGGAGAAATAGGATTGAAATAAAAAACGAACCAAGCCAATCCCTGAGTGGTTTTTCTTCCCTCCGCGGTGGTTTGTTTGAAGCCTTTTTTCACCTCTGGAGACTGGCGGCTTGCGGTTGGAAGAAAGCACGAACGCCAAGCACTGGGAGGGTGGGCAAAACTGCAGGCGATTTGACCCATCAATCATAGCTGCAATCGAACAGCTCCTAGTGGTGAAACCTCTGAATGACCGAAAAGCCGACACCTACAACAAGGCTACTAAGATTATGCCAGAGAAAAGCAAGGGACAAGCAAAGTGCTAACATCTACTTCGCCCACTAACCCTAAGTGTTCAATTGGCAAAACAATGCCAAGCACATCAACGTTGCAAATCACCCTGCTTTTTGTTGAAGCCATGTGAAAGTCAGTCTAGTTTCTTTGCTGTGTCAGCTGAGGTATTGGGATGCCGCAGCAGTTCCCCTCCTTTTGGGCAGCCAAATCCTGTCTCGCGTGAGGGGCCGCCAACAGAAGCACCTGTGGTCAAATTGGCAATAGTAGAGATATGTGAGATATGTGTTGGACAAGTGCTGTCGTTCATGAGGCCAACCATGCAAAAACGATTCAAATAATTAGAGTCAATCGAATAGCCACTAGTCTACTGCCCATTCTTGTTGAGTTGTAGATATTATAATGATTTATAGTGGCTTGCCTGTTCTGCCACACACAACCATGTTGCTAGAGCTGTGCAGGGTCGGGTGTGGCCACAGCAGTACAAACACGCGCTGGCCCATCAGTGGCCAAACCCAACCTATTCACCAACTTGAGGAGACTAGACGGTCTAACCAACCCCAAACATTGCGCAACTAGTGTCTGCAAACTGCACACGAAAGTGACTTCCTCTGATTTCCGCCTCCAACCGCCCTCCAACTCGAGAGTTGCGGGCGCTGGTCCTTCTTTTGACCCCATGTCTACTCAGCGCTGGTCGAATCAAATTGCCACCGTCCGCCGATCCACTCGGGCGCTGGTCGCGCATGTTTACGCGGCCGGCGCGGCCGGCGCTCACGCTCACGGCACACTGGCTGGGAGCGGAGGCATCGAGCGTGTGTTCATCGCAGATCCACGGATTCCCTTCCAGGGAACCATCTGCTGGTCAAAAAAGACGGGAAGCATGAAGCATGTCATGACAACTTTTGGCACTAAGGAGACCGGCCCCCTACATCCAACCCCTTGCAAAGCTCCAAGCCTCAAAAAGGCCCTATATCAGCACCTCCAACAGGTCACCAATTGAAACCTGTTAGGGAACAACCCTCCAAAGGAGACCTGTTGGAAGGTGCTGGTATAGGTCTCAGAAACGCTGAGAGATTCGGGTGAGCTTGCCGGGTCCGTTTTGTCACGTTTCACCTGCCCGCGCCTTGACATCTACGTCAAGGAATCGACACGGACATCGGAAGCAGGGCCGACCGCCGTGTCGTCCAGTGCCACCTCGGGTCTGGCATTGTTCTTGGCCAGGACCGGCATATAGAAGGTCTCCGAGGATGCACGAGATCATGTCCCATCTGGAAGATCCCAATCACCCGACTTGAGCCTGTTGGCCTGGTCTCCGCTTGGGAGTCGTTCCGTCACCAAATTCCAGGTCCTCGGGACGTCTGCGGAGTGGCGAACGGCGAACTGCTGGCGCTTAGCCAAGGGCCCAAAAGAGGTCAGCGTCGGCCGGAATCAGAACTCATCATGAGCTGCAGCTGGCCACTTCCGCTTCAATTGCTCCATCCGATGTTTCAGCCAAGCCATATGCTTTGCGATGAGATCTTTCTCATCTCGACGGATGGTGATTGCATCGTGCAGGGCACCGTCCAAGTCCTGCGGATTTACTTCCAGGAAAGACAGATGACCTAGAGGTAACAAAAGGGTGGTGGTGCTTCTGTACTTTTCTGCGATTTTTGATCCCAGTGAGTGGCACTATTCTGGGGCTGGCAAGCTTTGTGAATATTCCAACAACCCATCAGGGAGAAGACAAACCATGGATCGCTTGTCCAAGTGCCAAAATGTGCGTCAACACCTGGTGAGAAGTTTGCATAAGCAAAAGGCTTTGGTCTTTGGTCATTGTACCATGTATGGCGCCCGTTAAGCGAGCCAGGGGAAGTTCAATGGTTGACGTTTTAGCAGCTCAGCCTCACCCCACACTGCTTCCAAAATCCCGGACTAAGTTGTATGATGTTGTCTGTGCCCAGCCACCTTGTCATGTGTCCCGTAAACAGCAGTCCTGCCAATCTCCGGCTTCTGATCTGCCCTCAATATCCCAAAGAATCCATCTGTTCCACAAATATGGAAAACATATGGTCTACAGTCTACACTTGGTGGTTTTGGGTGATACCGTTTGTCGGTCATGTTTGCCGTCTCCCTGCCAATCTCGTCTCGTCTTGGTCGGTCATCAGTCTCATCATGTCTCATCCCGATCCATCGCCGCATCGCCCCGGCCGATTTCGTTCTCTGACCCGTCTCCTTCGCTAAGAGTTGCTCATCTGCACTGGCTGCAGGGACGCCCTTCATGCGTTGCAAGGCTTGGTCCAAGTGCGAGAACATGGTCTGCAAGGCGAGTTGCTCCTCTTCCCGGGTCACATGAGAACACTGCTCATTGAGATGCCACGTGGAGGAAAAGAAGGTGGTCAAGGGCAGCTCGTCCAGAAACGGCTGCAAGGCTTCCTGACAAGTCGATAGGGCAAAAAAGGTTGGTCATCAGAGTGCTACAACTTCCAAGTCTTCAAACACAGGGAAGTCATCCAAAAAGCTTTGTAGGGGCAGTGCTAGGGCCCCTCAACCACTCCCAATCACAAGCCCAGTGAAGAAGTGAAGAATGATGAACACCTCAATCGAAGAACAATCTGTCAAGCTTCTGGTAAGGTTAAGGAGCAGCTTCGGCGCAGCTCCAGCAGGTCTGCCCTCAGTGAGACCAGCCACACTCGAAGGAAGGACAAGGGTTTCCACAAGCTGCGCCGGATGGACCACTTCTTGGAGGAGCAGCCACCGAGTTCAAAGCGCAAAAGTCGTTCCAAATGCCTTGGGGCAATGTTCAAAGCCGAAACCAACGGCAGAAACTCAACTTGGGGCAATGTTCAAAGCTCCTCAAGTACTCAAATTACTGCTGATTTGCACAACCTTTGAACCTTTGTAATTATCTGGCACACATTCCTTTGGGGGGAACCTATTGTGGCAAGTGCTAAGACTATTTGATCTTTGGGTCATGCGCTTCAAGTCTTCACATCAAGACTGCATCGCAAGACGCGCTCCTCTTCTAGAACCTACTGAAGCACCTTCCCTTGCGATACTCTCTAGCAAAGTGATCTGTTAGCAATGTCCTTGCATATGCAGTGCGGGCAAATACCCCTGCATCCGTGAAAAGTCTTCTCAAAACGCGCCGAGCAGCATCTCTGGTATCTCCTGAAGGCCCAGGAGCGCCTCTGAACCACCCTCGGAAGTGCTTCGTCTTGGAAGGTCCCACTTGGTGAGGTGCACACGAAGTCGCGTGAGGCAAGTGAGATTATGAATCCATGGCACGGTGAAGCCGAAGCTCCACAACGTTTCTTCATTGCCTCGGCGTTTTTCAGCGTCTGGGACATTCCCCATGTTTTACGTTCGCTGCGTGAAGGAAAACATCTTCGATGGGCGCTCAATTCATTGACCCCAGAAGAAGCGACGTGAGGGGCGGGCTACGCTTCATCATTCCCGCAAATAGTTGTTGAACAAGTGTGTTGTCTTTTGTGTGTCGAACATGTCGACTTCACTTGGTGGAAAAAGGTTCTCCAGCCCAAATTCTGAATAATGACATCATGAAAGCTTTCTCTTGGTCACCAAACACCGCAGAAAAAGAGATGATACCTGGATCTTCCAAGGATGCAAACCATGCATATGTTCTGCCTTCTGTCTGGTTTTCCTTATATACCCAGTGACCAGTCACCCAATGTGTCACCAGTCACTGCAGTGGACCCAAGGAGCAGCTTCGCACCGTCCACCGTGGACCGCCGCTCGGCCATGGACCGGTCCTTGATCCACCTGGGACCTGGTGCACATTACTGTGTTATGAAGGAAAACGGCCAAGACCTGGGGTCAGTCTTGGTTCAGAGAGCCAACTTCGGCCTCCAAGCTGTTCGACCCAATCGACCCAATCCAACAGGACTGCCTTCCATCTGAAGCTCTTTTTCAGTCACTATCAGTCCAGGTGCTTTGTAGCCCATAGACGTCGGTAATCTCTCCAGGTCTTTTGAGCGGCTTCTGAAGCCACAACTCCAAATGTTGACCCTTGAGACCGTAGCGCCCAAGACCTAAGGACTGATGCAAGCGCACGCGCATGTAAAAGAATTGAGGAATGGCTTGCACATATATGCAAGTAGTATGTGTCCAATAAGTGTTGCTTGGTTTTAGGCTGGTGGGTGCTGATGGATACGAAATCTTAGGGGAGGGTCTTATAATATATTTTTTTGTGAAATCCCGGGCAGCAAAGCTTTCCATTCATCATTCAAGAGGCTCAAATTCAGGTGACGCTGCACCTGCGCGGTGGAGCGAAGAGGCTTGGACGGCATGGGCAAATGATGATTCACCAGGTCAAAGAGAGGCACCAAGGCCGGATGAGAGCTCCTCAGATTCGGATCTGAAGGAGAACAGCTGAACCCTCAAACACCAGGTCATCACTTGAGACTTGTTTGGGCCCAAGAAGTTGAGGAGAGCTGTCAAAGGGAGAGACTGGCACTGGCTTTTCAATACATTCAATTTGTCTTATTCTTGTTGTTGATGGAACATTGCGTTTACCCGCCAGAGTCCTGCCCAGCGTGATACCTCTATATGAAGCCTAGCGGCCTAGCAAGTGTGTCTATCGCTTTGTGGTGTGCCGGTTAGTCAACGGTCGAGAATGCCAAACTTCTGATGCCTGGGCGATCCATAATGCCAAAGCATTCCCCCTTCTCCAGATGAACCAGGCTAAAAGGTTTCCAATGACTGTCTTCGCAACTTGCCACACCTGCTTAGGCCCACGGAACCCCAATTGGAGCGGAAAAAGGCTTGCTGATGGTGGACCAGCACTGTCACCTTCACATTGGCCCCCCCCTTACGGAAGCTGTGACTCAAAATGCAAGTGGGTATGGTGTCCATGCAGTCCAACGAGAAAACATATACCCCTAAACCTGGTGGCCACCTCAACAACCGAAGGTTGGAACGCAATAGAAAAATATATTTATATATTTCAAAAAAACACAACATAGAAAGCATTATCCTTGAGAGGGGTCCGGCATTGTGAACCTCAATTGTGTGAAACTTGGAAAGGCAAACAAGAAGCTGCGATCTGCCCGAGCCTTGCGACCGAGGCGCTCGGGCAAGGTCAGGATGCGCGAGTTGATCAGTGCCCACACCTTCTTGTAAGAATCCATAGAAAATTTGGAGGCCAACTCTGGGCACAGCTCACTTAAGACTTGAGTGTACTCCTGCTCCACGCCTCTTCGTGCAGTTGAAAAAACGTCAAAAGCTGTAGTGCCCTCAATCTCGGACAGTAACTGGGGGCTCCTCATGCACAACGCACAAGAAAAGCCCGTGGCCAAGAAAAGTGTTTGTAACATTATTGGAACCTTCCTGCTTTATTAGCGTCCGTATCTTGTGTCAACTTACCCATAAAACTGGGATGTGGCCAACAGAAAAGCAGTGCCCCTACCTTCCTGCTCCCAAGATTCCAAAACAATGGGAATCGCTTCTGCTGCTCCTCATCCCAAGACTCTAGCACTGCATGGATCTGTGGCCAAGACTGATCTGTCATGGCCGGACTGGAGACTGACAGTGTCAAAGTCATCAAACTGAAGATCTGATGAGTCCGAGCATTCTCCGGGTGCCTGAGGCCGGGTCCCCTGAAACCTCGAAGTGGTGCAAAAGCCAATGGCTTAGGGGATCATGAATTGACATGTCACAAATGGTGGAGATGTTCCTTAATTCTATGGTAAGTTATGTGTTATGCTTTGCTGCTAATCTTGATGTTGACCTTGCCACTGCATGGTATAACAAGCGGTTGACCGACTAGAAGTATGGTTTAGTAATTAACATGGTTAGTTAAACTTACAGTAGTTTAAACGTACAATATAGCGCACACCTTGACCTGAGTTCTCTCCGGGGTCACCACGTAACGACCGTGCCTTTCTTTGTGGACCGACAGAACCAGGAACACCCACTGGTACCCACATGTCACCAGCATTCACCAGCTGCTGTGCCGTTCGTCGGCCTGGCCACGTCGAAGAATTGGGCAATCCTCTCATGGCAGGGCGTCGTGGCCTCGGTAGCCTTGTGGCCCCAAAGAATCGTCTCCAAGGGCAGTGATAACAAGGTCTCACCTCTGTGGCGACGGCGAGAGGCGATGGCAACCCACCGGCGATGGCGGCGATGACCATGGAAAAGGAATGAGACATCGAAGCCGCTTGCTGATGATTGATCGAAGCCTACTGTAGTTTTGGTTGAGGTGATGCAGGTTCTCCACAACTTGGAATGATCCATGGTCACCGCCGTTACCTGCTACACCTGGCCTGCGTTTAGAACAAACAATCCAGGTCCTTGGTGAGTGCAATACAAATGCTTGCGATCCACAGCCAACCTCAACAGTTGCCTTACATTGGTAGGGCTTCCAAAAGAATACGGTAAACGTATTATGTTTCATACCTCAACCTTAAAAACACACGTTCGATCCTCTGAAGAACGAACATATACTGATTACTACAGGTCGGGGTAACTTGCTTGCCATGTTCATGCACGAGAAGCTAGAACCTCTGAAACCCACAAAATATTCTTAAACGTATTGACAAATTTGTAGGCGGGGATCAGGAGTGTCACTCATGGGTTGCACTGTGCAGGCGGAGAACGAACTGTCTTGCTTTGATTTCGCGGCTGCCCTAAAATACATTCACAAATCACAACAAGGTTGTATTATTTCATGGGTCTCCCCCCATGCTCAGTAGCCATCAAGTATTTTCCACAAGTCATCTTCAAATCTTCTGCCAAACTATCTGTGGTACGTATCGCCACTTCAAGCTGCGTGTGGTCACCTTCTAACTATTTGGTGTGGGAGGAGGAGGAGGAGGGGTTTACCTATACCGATACCTAATTAATTAATTAACGAATGGAATTGTTATATATTGCATGTTATCTGTTAAAAGCATAGCATAACAAACATCATCAAACATCTAACAACTATCGACGTCATTAACATCCGTGCTTTCCAAAGAACAAAACATCACCAACACATGGGTGCTCATGCATGCACCCAGGGTGGCCCGTGCATCTCCCTTTCTAACGCCATTCCCCACCTTCCTCCACCGGCTCCACGGCGTAAAGCCCGCGCAGGCCGCCATCGGCCCGACCCAGCGCCAGCTTCTCGGAGACGAAGCCGCCACGCGCGCGCAGCCAGGCCACCAGCGCTGGGAATCCCCACATCGGCGTGCAGCATCGCGTAGAGCGTGTTCTGTATGTCTATGACAGTCCAAGGGTCTGAAAAACGAAGGGTCTGAAAAAACGAATGGTCTGACTAGGTGACCCGAGTCTAGGGACTTCCTTTACTTCAGTCGGTCAAAATATAGTCGAACTGGACTTCTAGGGTGTATGTCTGCTTGCATGTAGTAGTTGCCTTCCTTCAGTGTTCCCTCCATTTGCATTGTCTGTTCATGAATCATCATGAATCATGGATCCGAGATCAGCAAAACTTCACTAACCTGAAAACAGGTTCCAGTCAATGGTAGGTTCGGTGAAATCCATCTCCCTCGAAGACCTTATGTTCGGCCAAGTGATTCTCACAGGAAGCTTGATCACCAACAATTATATAATAATTCAAATCAACTATAGTTAGTGTATACGGAACCGTGAGAACACATGCAATATGGCCATGCGTAAGGGCACCCAAAACCGTTGCGCACGTCTGCTGTGGAATAAAACCGCCTGGATGAGTTAACACATGATTTCTATCGTTTTGAAGGTAGTGTTAGTCCTTATATGTCCTTATAGCTTTCAAAAACATGCTGGCATTTTTTGTGACCTGCATGGCCTCCTTCAACAGCTTCTTGCAAAAGACCTGCTGAACCTTCCGTTCACTTGAATGGCCTCGGGGAGCTCTTCTTCATGCCACTCACCACCCTCCAAACGCAACAGCTGCGCCACATCCGCGCGCGCCACGCACAAACCTGGCAGCGGCCAGGTTTGTCCCCGGCCCGCTGCAGCGTGGGTGTTGAGAAGGATGGGAGCAGGAGATCAGAATGCATCAGAAGTGGACGAGGTAAACAACAAATCATGAACAAACCAGTACCATTCTGTTTGGGTTAGCCTACACTTCCCCCCGCGATTTCCAGCCACCCCAAACAGGAGGCTCCAGGATGACCGAAACTCGGCTCTTGGGGCAAATGCCTGAACTTTGGAAACAAACATGTCTGCCAAGCAAATGTGCACGTCTTCCGATTTGGGTCACTTGAACAACCGCATACTATGTTACTATTCAGCGGAATAACGATGTTGAAATGGTTTATGAGGGATCCAGCTCATGTGACGAGAATGCTTGGGCTGCTTGGTCATGAAAGTGTTCGCGTTCTCGGCCGTTCATCGATATCTCCTGCAGTTCATTGATGAACATCTGGAGTTCGAATGTTTCGAGAGTGGACTGCTGACAACGCGCCTCTGGGTAAAGCTTCGGCTACCTGGCAAGTCGGGTCACACAACGCTCAACACTACAGAACACACGTAAGTGTTGCTATGCTTATAGTTGCATAGCCGCTGCTAGAGCACGAGCCAATTCTGGGAGCCACTTTTTACGGCAATTGCTATGATTCCACCCCTTTCGCCTTTGGGCGGGTTGGGTCCACAGATCCGATCCTCTTGACCCTCACACCGCGCAGCGGGCTCAGCCCCGCTGAAGCGCGCCTTCGGCAAAAGCTTCCCAGCCGTCCGCCAGCGGCGCCCCGCAGCCACCAGCTGTGCGGAAGCTTCCAGGCCGCAGGAGAAGAGCAAAGGGAAGGCGAGGACCTGGGTAAATACTAGTAACAAGGACGCTACTAGGGGCTCCTGGCCTTACTAGGAGCAAGAAGCTACTAGGGGCTCCTGGCCTTACTACTAGTAACAAGGACGCTTCCAAAATCAGTGAGCAACACTAGGAGTTACGGATGGCGCTGTATATAGGAATTCCAAGGCAAAAAGAATGTGTGCCTTGGGAGATCCTGGCTGAAGAGAAACCGGCCAGTTCTGTTTTGAACGGCAAAAATGCTTGATCGGCTCAGGTGTTAGTTTGCTTGGTTGGTCTCCTGTTGAGCTGGTCTCCAGGTTGCACAAGAAGAAGGCTCCAAGGTCATGAACGGCGACGAAGGAGTGTTCACTCGCTGCGTCTTGATAGTTTAATAACTATATAACTGCTTATGGTGTGGTTTGCATTGGGAAAAGCAACATTGCATTCTTCTTTCAGTTGGGAAATGCAACCAAACAAACCGGCCACCGAAAGAGGCAAATACCGCCCTCTCACCTTGCAGCAGGCAGCTACTCTCACGCCCTGCAAACAACACGGGCAAAGCAACACGCCGTCTGGTGGCCCTTTAACATGTGCACAACAAGCAGCACGCCCAGCACAGGTTTAAAGCATGGCTTAAATCCGTTTGGAAGCCGTGGCAGACACCAGAATCAAGAACAAACCCACAAAGCGTGACATGTCAGACCTTGTCAAGATATATTTGCTTGCTCCGCATCTAATCGACTCTGAAAGTGCTTCATATGTACCAGGGAGCACCAGAAAAATAGAAAGAACCAATCTAAAAGTATACCGTTTGCTCTTAGCGGGGGAGATGCTGATATATGCTACATCTCGATCTGCGGGGCACCTCTATGAGATCAGTCAAGCTACATCAAGGACAGCAGCCAAGCCCGCAGCCTTTCAATTGTCAAAGGTTGTCTTGTCTGTGCTTCAGAACAGAGTTCGGCTGATTGGTCCTCTTGTGCAAAATAGTGTGTGTGTTTGTGAACAAAATACGAGTCACACAAATAGATACCGCAAATAAATAAATACCAATAGAACTCAAATGGACATCAAAAATCAACTCCAATTGAGATCAGCCCTGCCAGGCTTCAAACCCCGCACCTGCAAAGAATCCATGGCTTCTCTGAAGCATGTCAGCCCTGCCAGGCTTCAAACCCCGCACCTGCAAAGAATCCATGGCTTCTCTGAAGCATGACAAGCTCCATGGCCACACGTGCTTTGTATCCAGAAATGACCACCGTGCAACTGGTTTGTGAACAGAACATGGTCAAGCAGTCAAGCACGGTCGGTTGGATAATGCACGTACATTTTGGGCCATGCAACCCTGCTTTTTACTATTTACATCTTACCCACGACCCTGAACAACTACCCCCAGAACCTGGTAGCGTGGCAGCCCAAGAAACTTCCATTTTTTGACCCGGACGACCCACCACTTGCTTCGTAAGACACACTCGAGGTATCCCCCTGAGGGCTGCCGAAACGCTGCAATGGAACCGTCTCGTCAGGTGCTTTCGCTACTGAATCCATTTGTCTTGCAAACGATAATCTCAAGCATGGCATGTAGATGTTCACTGTATGTCCAAATGTGGTTTACCAAATTGACTGTTTAACAATTACAAGGTTTTGGGTGGGTTCCACGTGGGCTCCCTGTGTTTTTGCGCAAGCTTTTCGCTATAAAACTGCACTGATATGTCTTCTCCTGGCCTCCTTTACTGTATATATTTTGCTGTTTCAGAAACAGCGCAAGCGCGCTCTGCCGAGTGCTCAGCTGCCAACGGCTGCAGCCATTCAAGTTCAAGCTGTGACCAAAACCGCCACCGATCGGCCAGGCCGTGCACACTCGGAAGCTGGAAGCTGGCGGGCTTCTACCAGTAGGTGCAATACCCGTATACGCACTGACATTGAGAAAAGGGTCTTTGGGAAAACCCCTTTCATCCCTTTTCCCTAGTGACTTCCAAGTTAGATCATGTTAGTGAGCCGAAGTGTCTGTCTCCCACATGACCTCATGTCACCCGCCTCTTTCACGGTCTTGTTCTTGTAAACACGCTCCGTGTTTCCCATGGTTCGGAAGATGTGCGTCGTGTCCTGCGTCTTCGCTGAAGCCATGCTTCACTCCGACTGGGTGGCTGCATGGTTGGGGGAAGGCCTGGCTCTCCACAGAGCGGATGCGGGGTGGGTCGGATACTTCTCTTGGGCGGGTCCGACTTGGCCCTACAGCTGGGAGAGTCGGCATACATCGAAGTTCGCATCCCTATCGTTGCAGGAACCTTGAAAAAAGGTGAAGTGTAGACTCCCATTAAAGCACTAGGCTTAGATGGGTGCCAAAGGGTGCTGAGATGGCTTTCTCGGACCAAACACCGTGGCGCGACGTGACGTGTTTCCGTCCGTCACTTTGGCTTTGACCATGGTGTCTTTGATCGGCTGCAGAATGGGCGCCTCGAGCTCTCACACGTCTTGGGAACGAACCGCGACAACACCCGGTCAAAAGCGCCCGCCCTGGACTGATCCCCTGGTGAGCGCCCCCAAAAAGCTTGGAGCTGGTTGGACTGACCTACACGTCTGGACAACAACTGCGAGAAGTCATTCGTCCCTGGAATGCGTCTACAGCTTGAGACTGCAGGACGATCGCCAAATCTCACCCATATAACTAATATAGAATCTGAGACCAACCCAACCACTGGAAAACACATCAAGATCATATGACATCATACCAGCTGCTTCCTTACGGAGTTACCCATGAAAAAACCTACACTGCATATATAGGTTCACCAGACAGGACACCCATTTGGAAGTATGATGAAGTATGCTAGGTATATGTTCATGAACCCCATCCTGAATAAGATTGGCACCATTAAGTTCCACTTCCCCCTCTTCCTGTGTCCCACCAGTGCCACCAGCCCACCGGCCCAGCTGCTCCGCGGCGCCTCCTTGGTCGCCATGAAGCGCGTGCCCATGTTCACCCCCTCGGCACCTCCGGTGCAAGCGGGAGCAGTTGCAGGATGGATTCTGACAGTGGGCCATCAGAGGTGAGAAATGGCGCTGGCACCCCAAGATGTCATGCCTTTAGATATCAGGGGTCCATATAAACCACCCACCGACATTGGGGGTTGTGCGATCTACTCTGAAACCGCTGTAGATTCAAAGAACCTGTAAACAGTTGAGTTGTCAATGGTTTGCAATCTCTTTGCATGTGCTGCACATTTGCGGCATGGCATGGGCAGTGTGGATCAAATCGGCATGAATCCAACTCGTAAGGTTAACATGACCTGTAGCAGACCTGGCAGGGGTCAAACTCAAACCAAACCTCTTTCTTCCGCTGCATGTTACAAACATCCTTCCGCCCCCAGCTCCTTCACAGTCCTTCACGCGCTTCCAGCACAAATCTTTCACAAGCAGGGCACCAAAAGACATAGATTTTCCAGACCTCTCCAAAACCATGAGCCACAAGCACCGAATTGCAATTCCGGTTTTCAGGTCGGAAAAGATATATGCTACAAGGCCAAACACCATACTTAGTAGTATACAAATGTAATTTCAAATGTATCAACCTCTAGCATCACTCAATTAAGAGCTCTGGGGTTCACCGCACTCCTGCCCCCCCCCCATCTTCTCCGCTAGGCCAGGCTAGGCGCCCATGGCCAAGGCGGCTGCCAGCTGCACTCCGGTGGCGGTGCCTCGGTCGACTGACCAGGTCAGTCGAGTTGAGATCCCGTTCCTTTCTTCTTCACTCCAGTGGAGTCACATCTCATTAGCTCAAAGACCAACCAAAAAACCTCTCAAAAACACCTCAAATACCCTCAAACCTGGTCAAATACCCTAAACGCCTCTTTGACGCTGCAGCCCCGCCAGCCCCGACGATCGCTCAAAACGATCGCGTCCCGCCGCGGCTCCGCCGCTCCGGTCGAGCGGCCGCCCGACGCCACGAAGGGGATCTTCAACTCCTGGGTACGTGGCGTCCACTGGGTGCGCCACTGTGGAGAGGGTTGGGGATGAAAACCATGGACTCCGTGGACCTTTTTTGGTGCAAGTGATGTGATTAAAGACATATGATCAATGATCATATGGACAAATAGATATGTGTACTCTCATCTGTGTGCTCCTCATATGTGCGCTTTCATGTGTTGTCATATGGTACTCTTTTGTGCGTGCTCACTCACACCTCTGCATATGTATATATATATATATGTGCTTTCGTGTGTGTGCTCTGAAAAACAAAAACAAGACACGACTTGACCTGGTGCCCAACGCCCCAGTCCGGGTCTGGCCACCAAAGATTCTCAGAGGTGTCAGCAACACCAGAGTAAGCAATTCTCAGGTGCCACTCAGTACCCAGGAGTGCTCAAGCGTCTGACCTTCCAAGGACCTATCTAAATGATTCTAAATGGTGTGTTTCTTAACAGGGAGATCCCCAACCAATGGGTTTTGGTCTATCTTCCTTCTTTGGAAAGGGGATCTTTGGAAGTTCTCCCTATTTTAATACACATCCAATCTGTGATGAGCGAGCGGCTTGGTCTGGTGTGTGGCGCATCTTTTCTCTTCAGGTCCGTCGCGTCGCGTCGCAATCTGGATCCACTTGGCGTCCTGAGAAGCTTGGGCCAACAGCACCCAGTTGCCAACATCTTCTTCGCCTGGAACAGCTGAAGAAGATAACACGTCGGACAGGTCACCCCCCTATGGGTCGAAGCTCCGCCATGGGTCGAAGGTCCGTCCCGACCGGAAAAGCAAGGGAACCCGGGGAAAACCCAAAGACACCAGAAGGGGATTCACCGGCAACAAATTAAAAAAACATGTTCCTTTTTGAAGCCACCTCCAGGTCATGAAGACAAACATGAAGAATGGACCTCAAGAGTCATTCCTTCCAATTCAGATGATCCGGAGGTGTGGAGGGCCGTGCGCTGGGAGAAAACGCCAAGACCGAACAAACCAAGACACGCCGGATGGCCACTGCCCCGCCTGGATGGCCACCGCAATCGAAGCCATCCATGGAGATCATGTCTGCTCCTGTCGTCAAGTGAGACCTATCATCACCGGGTCATAGCACACCACTTGGGACATGTGTTTTCTTCCAGGGTGTGACAGGGTGATGGAAAAGGATTTAACTGAAATTTAACTAAAGGTCCTAAGTGATCAGCTTTGGTGATGACCTTGATGGAGCACTACCCTGAGGATGGCCCTGGGTGCCATAATATGTGTATATATATGTATTATGTTATATATACTGCGTGTCATATTCTATGCCTGTAATATATGTATAATATATAGTTGTGATATATACACCCCATCCTGGCGGGGTGTCCGACAGCGATGGAACCCCTCCATCCCCCTTTCATCTCCCAGACGGGTCGCCGGACCCATCTTGGCGGCGGTCTGTGCGTGTCGCACCGCCACACACTTGTGGATCACAAACATGCCAGCCTCCTGCAGAGCCGAACTACGAACATCCAAGCGGGTTAGGAGTGTCCCACGCCGGCGGGTTAGGGGTTGGTACTTGGTTTTGGTTTCTTCATGTGAGGCGCGGACAACATTATCTATTCATGCAATATGCCATATGCCAAATTGGGTCGTCCCCTATCGGTTGTGAAGAATTAGGCATTTGAAATGTGATGTCATGATGGTGTCATTTGTTGTGAAGGGCTTGCCATGTTGCGTTTTGATTGCTGCGCGGTTGTGTTTCCAGTTCGGGCTTGAAACTGCAAGTACCTTGTGAAAGGCTTGTGGAAGCAAACAGCAGAGTAGCATCTCCCTTTGGTGCTATCTGACATTGAACTCGAGGAGCTGGATTCTGAGCTGCTGCTCTGACCGTGACCCGCTTTCACAATGCTGTGCTTTTTCCTGGTCCAATGTTGTTGCTTGTGTTTTCTCCGCAGCCTCCTCAGTTATCCTCAGCTGTAGTGTGCTAATATTCTTGTTAATTTCCTCAGATGTCTGCATCATCTGGTGATTTGTACATGTTTGCAGAATCTTCTAATGCCTCCTTGTACTTCCTTGCTCGCCTTACTGTAAACGCTCGTAGGGAAACACTGCAATCAGGTGAAACTACTCTACCATGTGGACGCTAAAACATGAAAACTGCAGCTACAAACATGAGAGATCTGCATGGACACCCGCAAAGGTCCTGAATATAGTGTCACCCTTCAAATGGGACGAGGGGCACCAGAGCATGTAAATCTGCAAACCATGGTATCGGTTAGTATCGGTTGAGCTGTCGGTGAGAGCTCCCTCATTCCACGGCGTAAGCACCCAACTGTTTCATTAATTAATGAAACCTCATCGGCGAACTCACTTGACAATGGTGTGATAGCTCTTGCAACATAACCCACTAAGGTTCAGAACTACTCATATTGAAAAGCACCTTGGATTCCAATTCACAGCCATCGAAAAACAGTAACAACCAAAACAATCTTGGTAGGTCTAGGGGTATCGGTGCTGGGTCGCCCCCTATCGGTTGCCAAGGATTTCTTCACTTCTCTATAAGCACAAGGCGGCCTCTTACATATTTAGTATTAGAATACTTTTGTCGGTTGCTCATGTGTCTTTCCCAAACAATCCACGAGATGGCAAATGTGAAGAAACACACGTAGGCAGTCGCGTCTTCGCGCCACCCCACAGTCCTTGCACTTCTTGATGACCTTCTCCGGATTCCGCCCAGCAGTCTCTATGACTTTCACCTTTTCCTCAATCAACACCTGGCAACGGCACGGGAGGCTCTTCGACACAACACGGGACGCTGTCCGACACAACAACGTTCGGCCCCGGTACTCGAGTACTTCCGGGCTTGGAAACCCCCGGGACGAGTACCGGGCCCTCCTCCCACGAAAAAGCCCTGAGCCGGCATGTAGACTCTTGATTAACAAGCCCACCCCAATTGGATTGAACAAAACTCTTCCTATTATGGGAGGGGCTATTGATCACGAGTCTACATTGGCGTCATCCGTTGGTCCCTTCGACTTCGACTCGTTAAAAAAGGGTCATCATATGGAATCATCGCGGTATTATAGAACGACCTGCGAAGCTGTGTGGTCTTTGACAAGTCTCACGTGATCATGTTCTGGATTGGATAAACATTGCAAACGAGTTTGCACAATGAGTCAACAGCTCCAAGGACTCTGTGTCTGGATGCAGCATCCAAGGAACATCACAACATCACTGAAACACACATAGCTATATAATGCTATATATGTACATATACAAACACATAGATTTGCTGATGTCGCAACATGATTTTGCAGAATGATTCCACTTGTTCACATGCACATTCTGTGCCTTTCACCATCCGTACTCACACAGCGTGCCCCTTGCAGGCAGCGGCTGAGGGGAGATGAACAGTGACTATACAGACCTGGAGCAAGCCTAAAATCGCAATGGTCGATAGGCTTGTGCCGCTCTTCCGAAAGAGCTCGAAGTAAACATGAAAAACTATACAACGCGCAGGAGACATGCCCATCGCGGCATAGCACGCAACGACAGCATTAAAATCACCTGGTAACACCAAACTCTGTTTCGATCAAACTCGGCCAACAACTCCCACTACTCCGTGTCTGAGTAGAGCATCCAACAAACACAAGAGCTATATATAGTTGATATCGCAACATGATTTTGCAACATGTTTCAAACTGTTGGCATGCATATTCTGTCCCTTGCACCATCCGTACTCACACAGCGTGCCCTTTGCAGGCAGCGGCTGAGGGGAGATGAAAGTGACTATATTATAGAGCAAACCTAAAATCGCAATGGCCGATAGGCTTGTGCCCCTCTTCCGAAAGAGCCCAAAGTAAACATGAAAAACAACTATACAACTACGCGCAAGAGATATGCCCATCATGGCATAGCACGCAAAAACAGTATTGAAATCACCTAGTAACACCAAACTGTGTTTCGATCAAACTCAACCAACAAATCCCACTCCTCTGCGTCTGAGCAAAGCATCCAAAAAACAGAACAACATCACTAACATCACTTTAAACCAAAGGCATAGCTAGGTTTGTTGATGTCAAAAACATGATCGATCGTGCAAATTAAGCTGACTGTTGGCATGCACAATCTGTGCCTTTCACCATCCGTACTCACACAGCGTGCCCTTGCAGGCAGCGGCTGAGGGGAGATGAGAGGTCAAACTAAGTATTGCGCAACACTCATAATCGACACAAGATATGGCGCCAAATTCTTGCGCCAAATGGTGCGATCAATCATCTGCTACCATCCATTGCTCCAGCAAGCGGTCTTCCCATTGTGGCATGGAACGCAAAGTCAGAATTGAAATGACCTGGTGAAACCAAACGGTGGTTTGTTTAAACATGAAGAAACTGACCAAAATAGAAACTGTTCTGCGCCTGGGTAGGGCATCCAACGAAGATACGAACATATACAAATGTATGATTTACGGTATTGTTTGCATCCGCCTCCTCTTCAGATTTAGCGGGCATGACGTTGCCAGTCATAATGTGGCCAGGTGTAAAGCTACAAAGGCTTGCCAACCCCGGGGCCTGGTCGTGAGAACCCTGCTTGTTTGCAGCTTGCGCCAGATCCCAGGCTGATTCACCTTTGAGGGTCTTCTGCTGGACATCGGCACCATCCAGCAGCAGAAAGCAAAGCGCTTGATGGTCTCCTGGCTGCCCTACTTTCAAGCATGAAAGGCAGTGTGAAAAAGGCAACTATCCCACCTGCATCGCTGGGGGGATAGAACATACTGGAACACCAACACTAATTGATACTAATTGTTATTGTTGTTGTTGTTGTTGCTGTTGCTGCTGTTGTTGTCGTGCTGTTGTTGTTGCTGTTGTTTTTACTTACATTATCGTACCTATTAATAAACACTCCCCAATTAAAAAGCACAACGTCCGAATCCCTAAAGTCGGCTTATATTTGTTCTTAAATTACCGCCGCCCGCCCTTTCAAACCGCTACTAAACTACCAACATGGTCGATGTTGGGGGCACTTTCGTTTATCAGGTTCCAAAAACAAGCGTAACTGCCCACACCTGTCCGCCCTGTGTATCCACCATGACACGCCGTGTTTACACCAGCAGGTTTTCCTTCCTCCAATGGCACGGACTCACGCAAAGGGACTCAGCTTTGGTTGTTAGTCTAATGATTCTAATGAAGAATCAGTATCGAATAAAGTTTTTTGTAGGGGAAAAGGAAGACCCCTTCGATCTGGAGGTTTTTTGAATTTTTGATACGAGTTCAATAAATGATTTTATATAATGTTTGTTCTGGATGACTTTTTGGTTTTGAAGCTCTTGCCAGGTGACCCTATTTTGGACCCCCCGATTTCAGGGACCCCCTATTAGAAAAACTGCGACCGAGTTTCTCTTATTAGTCTTATTAGGCGGGGGGGCCGTGTTTATTAATAGGTGGAAAGGATTACGTATGACTTGCGTTTGTTTGACGCATCCTTTTCCCATCTCTTTTCAGTGCGTGCCCCAGCACCAAATCACAGCTGGTACTTCTAAGGCCAACAAAAAATACCTTGATCTGCCGCAATGGATCAACCATGGTCGCCCGTCACCAGGCGAACTGTGCCAAGAGTTGGATCTGTTCACTGGAAACCACCACGAACATCAGGAAACCAACCGGTCATGCCGAGTCTCCCAACTGCGCGGCCACATGGATTGGTGACAACTCCTCCCGGAGCTGTGGCTCCACCTGCTGCAGCAAATGGCGTAGTCGTGCCTCCTCGAGCATCATGCTCACCGTGCGCCGCAAGCGGCGCCGGCCCTGGCGCTGCACGAAGCGGCTGGCGACCCGCCCCGCCAAGGGGGAGCAGGACTCGGCGTGGAAGTCCTCGTCGTCGGAGAGAGGTGTGGAGGAGGGCGACCAGCAGGGATCTAGGCAATCAGGGCGACCGGCGGCGCGCGTGTGTTCTTTTCAATTTCAATGACGGAATCCCAAGCCATCTACAACACCGAATCCTGTTCATGTTGCCTCCCTCGCTCCGTTGCGACCGAGATACCACAAGTGTCCATTGTGGCAGAGCGTAGCGCCATGGCGAGGCTGTGCCGTTCAAGGTCTGCTGACCGTGGGGGGCAACTAAGACTCTCGACTAGAGACAGGCAACTTCGGATCCGTTCGCTCTGGGCACTTCTCAAACTATCTGTTCGAAAGAACACATGGCTCGTACCGGGACCTTCAAAGTGACTGAACTTAATCTTAACACATGGCCTGTACCAACAAAGGCTTAGAGACCCCAAAGAGGTCCCTTGAAGGTGCTGTTATAAGGATGGGATTGCGTCTATGCCAAGGGATCCAGCTACCAGTGGTTCCAGTTCCACTCAACCCCTAGACCAAACAGAACGGGCCCCTTCGACCGATGGGAACCAACGTGCTGGAGCTGAACCCGCCGAAACGATGCCTGCACGATGCCATCGAAATCAGGTGGAACACCAACGGGCAACAACCTGGGATGCCATCGACATCGACAGGACTCCAGGAGACCTCGGGGCCACCCGACATAGACTGGTGGTGCATGGACACCCCGAATCACATCTAAGGGGCTATCAATAGACAGGGTGTCCTGGTATAAATATTATATATATATTATATATATATATTTACCAGGACCCGATGATAAACAGGTCTCCGGGATCAGCCAGTGACTTGTTTTTTTGTTACTGTTCTGTTTGGTACCAGAACCCGACGATAACCAGGTCAACAACCCTCAACTGGTCCGACCTCTTTAAGGTTGCTGGTATATACCTATGTAGGTGCGAAAAAAAAAAAAAATATAAATATATGGCCCCGGATTTGGTGTTTTTTGCTTGGCTTTTTGTTGATCACCTTTGCCCATGGGAAAGGTGCGGCAGCATCGGCTAGGGGCCTAGTCCGACACCCCCACAGCAGGATCGGCGTCCGATCCCAAAGACGGCTCATAGGACTGGTTGACAGTCCGGGATGGACCTGGGGCCAATGTAGTCAGAATATCTGTAGTCCCATGGAGGTGCTTTGGGTCTTGCTTTCTTGGTAACATGCAAACACGCTTGACCCTGTGAGAGCTTCGGGTTCATCGAACCCGTGGACCTGCAGGTAGGTGACACAGGAAACATGCAGCCAGGGATTCATCCAGCTGAATGCAAACACATTACAAGAGATTGTTTGGCCTCCGCATCCCACTGGTGGCATTGAGCCTGTGGCATCTTCCCACTGATTTTCTTCTACAGTGTGCTTCTGGTTGGCTTGTCTAGCTCCACCCACATCCCACTGTGTTCGCCACGTGATGTTCACCCCAAATGGCCTCAGCGACCAAACGCGAAGACCGCCTTCAGAAACATCTCTGGATGTCCCAGGATGTCAAATGAAGACCCCACTAGTGGACATCCACCACAGTCATCCCAAGTGAGAAACCCTATAGTGATTAACTGGATCCAATTCTTTGGAAGGACTCTAGGATGGAATAGCACGATGATATGTGGAGATATATGAAATTCCATCTCCAAAAATCCATCAAATCATCAGTGGAATCAGTCGTCAGTCGGTGATCACATCGGCCTTTCGCTCACGTCTTGACCTTTCAGTCTCACTCGACATCTGAGGCGTCCAGGTGCCTCACTTGTCGGTGAGTTGTCGACACTTCCTGCGGAACGACGGCGCTCGCCACTGGTTGGGGGTCCGGGCGCCCAGCTTTGGCGGTCGGACGACGTGAAGTTGATCGCTCGGGCGTTTATGATGTGCCACTCCCTTCAGGCCGTCTTAGGCCACCCTGAGAGGGTCGAACCCAAACAGCATGCACACCATCTCCACAGCACAAGATGCGAAACTCAAACAATTCTTTTGGCTTAGCCTGATCGCCAGTCAATCCCCACAAGCAAGATCAAGGCTAACGTAGACTCTTGATTAATAACCTCCTCCCATTTGGATTGTAGAAGCTCTTCTACCTCGTACTCACGAAGGTCCCCAAGCGTGAGACCGTTTCGTCTACCGTTCCATAGTTCAAACGTCATCCATGTGTCAAAAGATGTACCGACAAAACATGGCTGCAAGCATTCAGTTCAAAATACGGACCAGCATTCTGTTCTTCCTATCTTATTGAATGAATACAAAAAACATCTACAACTTCACCCCTTCAGGCCTTGGGGGCGTTATATCAAGCGTCGACATATCTGTCGTTGCTTGATGTTGTTTGCCTCCCAAGCGAAAGGGTCTGGTGGCCCTAAACCAGTCTAGAAACTCACAGCAAAGGGGCGGACCGTGGGTCTGGTGCATCAAACCAATGAGAAAACGAGTCGATAGACTATAGACCATGCTTGATTGGCCAAATACGCCAAATTCGAACTTCTCATCGACTGTCGTGTTCAAACGACCACGCTTGGATGTGTCATGTGTTCCTTGCATGAACCTGCTGATGGCGTGAGATCCTGTGAGTAAACCTGCATGAATTTCCCATTTGAACACATTGTTATTTCCTTGTGTTTTGCGAGTCTTCCGCGTGACAATTCTGCAACCACCCGTGAAACCTCTGCCTCTCTCACCCCATCCTTATTCTTTTGACCAAGCAACGCCCCGGTCTGCCACACGTCCAGGGGCGAAACCCTGGCGCCTGATCTCGTCCCGCAAGGCTTCCTTGCCCCGAGGCGGTTGCGCCACGGTGAGTGCCGTGATGATCCTGGCACCCCCAAGCGAGCGGTGACGGAGGGTTTTTGAGGGAACGGAGGGCGGGTTTGGGTGGAAGGGCTCGTCCAAGGACCAATGTACTTCTGAAGATGGGTTCACGAAAGGAAAACATACAATATAGTATAATATATAGTTATAGTACTGTATAGTTATATATAAACGCTGTTAACAGTATAGTTATATATAAACGTTGTTAACAGATTCGCACACTTAGATAGACGGCTCGCAAGAGCAAATGTCAGTTGACGACTTCCCAATCTAGTTACTGCATTACCAAAATAAAGCGCTGGAAAACCTGTTTGTAGGAAATGGCCCTGTGCAAACGGAACCGCGATGGCTGAGAAACAGTATCCTTTACAAATCACATGGCATGCAAGCAGTTACGCGTCCTTGCTGATATCAGCACAGCCTGAAAACATCAGAAAAACATCATTGTTAGATGCCGTCTCTTTAGGTGTGGGTCATCCCCCTGCATGATTTAAGTTAAACATATTTTGAGGAGTGGGGGGAAAATCAACTTGATGAGCTGTATAATTATGTTATAAGGAGGAGAAGAAACAAGACTTGTGATGTGTTTTTTCATCTTTTTAGACGCAGGGAGTGACACACTCTGACATTGGTTTTCAGTTACACTCAGTTCCCAAGCTGAGAAGGAAGGTGAGAGAACGGAAAGGTGGCAGAGTCCGCGGAAAAGTATTGTTTAACATTAGTCACCAGTGCACTTTAGTTAACTACGAATACTGCAATTTAGACCTTGACTGAAAAAGAAGTGCTGAGTCCGTCGAACAGTATTGTTGAAAAACGCCGAGTTAAACAATTGAAAGGCAGGTACGTCAGTGCTGGCCGGGCACTGATATCACATCCACTTGGTGCGGTCTTTGTTAGATGAGGCACACCAAGGGATCCTCATCCCCCTGCTTTAAATTAAATTGAACCCTTGGAAACAGGGTTTGGCACACACACGGTGCCGCTTCGCGGCGCGCATGTGAAAGACCTGAATAGTCACCTAAAGAGCCTTAGAAACAAAAGAAAAGAAAGACAGAAAGAGCAGCGCTCAGAGGGCAAGAAAGAAAGGTAGGTGTAGAAAAGTGAATACTTAGCCCTTGACTGGGGTAGGGAAACGAGCCTCAAGAGCAACCTAAAAAGCCTGAGAGAAAGCCCAACAAACGACGAAAAGCGCAAGAAGGAAAGCGGGGGGGCAGGGAGGGGCTGTGTGTCCATGTGTGTGTACATGTGTGTGTCTGAATACCTAGCACTCTAGAGTTACTGATTACTTAGCAGAGATGAATTAAGTGCGATAGCTAGGGAGCGGGACTTTAGTCTTAGACCGCCCGGGTAGGAAAGACTAGAACAGGAACAACACAGGGAAAGGCACCGACACACAAGTGTGTCGAGTACCATTTCCCTATGTTGCCCTAATTAGGTGGGGAGTAGAACTCGGCTGGGGGGGGGGGTTGGGAAACCTGCCTGACTGCATGACTGCAAGGGGAGTACCGTTTTATAGCCCGGCGGCTGTGGTGGTTCACCGTTTTTTGGCCCGGCGGCCGTTGTGGCAGTTAATTCGTTGGAAGTGGAGGTGAATTCCAGTGAAGTTCCGGTGAGCGGTAGTGAGTTCCGTTAAAGATTTCCCAATGAAACAGCGCCCCAGTGACGGGGATCACACTCAGCACCCGAGTGGGACGGCTGAGCGAAACACACTCTGACATTGGTCTGAGAAGGAAGGTGAGAGAACGGAAAGGTGGCAGAGTCCGCGGAAAAGTATTGTTTAACATTGTTCACCAGTGCACTTTAGTTAACTACGATTACTGCAATTTAGACCTTGACTGAAAAAGAAGTGCTGAGTCCGTCGAACAGTATTGTTGAAAAACGTCGAGTTAAACAATTGAAAGGCAGGTACGTCAGTGCTGGCCGGGCACTGATATCACATCCACTTGGTGCGGTCTTTGTTAGATGAGGCACACCAAGGGATCCTCATCCCCCTGCTTTAAATTAAATTGAACCCTTGGAAACAGGGTTTGGCACACACACACCACAAAACAACAAGAACAAACATCCTAACGCGCGGGCAAACCTGAGGGAAATAACAACAACTCACGGAGGCTTCAATATGAGATGCCTCATGATGCTTCTGATTTTGCCATGGCCCGAAAAGGAGGGACGAGTTACGAGTTCGGACGGGCTGGAGCTCCATCGAGCGTCCATCTCTCCCAGCGGGGTCTTCCCCCATGCATGGACATATATATATATATACACGCTTCAGCACATTTCATAGTAGTTTCTTGTGCATAAACAAGGCATCGACGCTAACCGGGGCCCCGCGCGAAACGAACCTTTCTTTGCAACACATCAAATGCAAACTTTGGGCTTTTGGCGCTTTTGGAGGTAGGCTCTTAATAGGTCACCTTGCGTTTGTATTGGCACGGCCTGTATAAAAGGCACGTGTTGTGCCAGGGTGACTGAGGAGAAAAAGTTGTTTTGGAGTAGGGCCGAGAGGAAAGCGATATTTCTTTTCTTCAGCGGATCAAGCGGGCGACCGCCTTCCAAAGATCACCCTGTGCGATCCAGCGAAACTGAAGCTGTAGGCATAGCTCCACAGCCGTTGCGACACGAGCATGTAAAGACTTGGGCATGGACTTTTTCAACCGCTTCCAGAAGTTGTCCAAAGCTTGCGTGCCGGCCACGGGGCCTTTAGTAGACTCATGTTTTCTATGGTTCAACTCTGCAAAAGGCAGGTGACGCAAGAGGGACATGCGCTTCCAAGCTCTGTTACCAAGACTTGCTGTTGTATAGCTGTGGCTGCTGTTGCTCTTGGCATTTTCGTGGTGAATCATTGATCATGAACTCACCTTTGACACATGATATTTTATTCAGATCCACCTTAAAATATACTAAAGGTATATAAAGTAGACCGCCCTGCACTTACTAGCAACATTCAGACCAAGTGTTGGGATTAAATAGGGTTTGGTACAGACGGGGATCTTTAGTATATTTTAAATTGGATCTGAATAAAATAGATCATGTGTCAAAGATCATGTGACTTCATGAACAATGATTCACCGCGAAAATGCCAAGAGCAACAGCAGCAGCTATACAACAGCAAGAAGACACAATGCAAGACGAAGTTCGGTACTATGCTGCATGTTTGCGGCTGTGTGTGAAACGGCTGCGTGCCAGCGGAGGAAATTAGACCCCAGCCCACCCCACCCCCTCACCCGTGGCAGGGAATAATTATGAATAATTGGTATAATGCGATCGAACTCTCTTCAATGAACCTTCAAAGAATTTGCAAGGACGTTGAGTACAGCTGTGCTTTCAATGCGCAGCTTCTTTTTTTGCGCGACAGTAAGATGATCGCTGCATTTCACACTCGGTCAAGCATGCGATGCGGAAAGTGGCGCTGCCTTCACGGCTTCGGCTTCTGAACTTGTACCGCAATGGCAAGCCATCTGTATATGGTGGTGAGATGATAGGCAAAACAGGTAGATATCTACATATCTAAAAATCTGATATTTATTGATTTATAAAAAAAAATTGAATAGATTAATACACGCTATTTTCACCCTATGGGCAACCGGAAACGGGCAACTGCACCTTTGTGGGGTCTCTAGATGGTTCCACGCTGATAACTGGATGTGTTAACATATTCTTCAAAATGAGCCAGCTGCGGAAAACATACCGCGTTGAAATAGATACGATTGTCACTGTCAGAAACCGGCCTTTGCATGGTGTAGAAGCAACTCTTGAAACAGCTGCTCCGCAAAGTTGTGGGTGTAAACGATGTTGCCCACCATACAATGAATAAAGATATGTCATTGTGATGCATATGGCCTCATATGTTTACTTGTGTCTGTGTACACGTTTACGCCCGCGCATATATGTATGCCATTTTCTTCACACACTCGTTCGCGTCAAAGTTTGCGGCCGCAGCGCGTTAGTAGGAGAGTGCGCTTGGGATTCAAGGTACGCGTGCACGATCCTTAAAGCTGTACAACCCGTGGATATTTGGATGAAGCATGTCTCCTATCACAGAATTGGTCCGGTCAAAGTAGACACGGCGACCTCTAATGGTGCCCTGGTCATGTTCCAGTTCTTACGGTGTCCCGATCCAGTTCTGATGATGCGCCACTCGATGTCTGTCACAGTCTTTGAAGCTTCCTTTAATTTAACAGTCAGCTGTGTGACTATGTGTGATATGAGAAAGGCTACAGTGTATGTAGACACTTTGATTTGCAAGCGACCACCACCAAAACATTTAGGCATTTGTTTGGTGCTCGTATAAGAACTAAAGCCTGCAGCTGCAAACAACTTTATTGCTTTTTTTGATCCTGAAGCCTTTTGCCTCATCTACGTCTTTCGGAGCGATGATGTACACCGGCTCGGAACGAGGTAACGTGAAGGGTGTGCTATGTGCCTTCTGCGTGGCTGGGCGCTTTTGAGCACGTTTGGACACAAATCTTTTGACTTTATGTTTTTCCGCTTTGCGTGCCTCTTCTACCGGCAGAATAGCCTTTTGAACGCTTTGCCTTGCCCAATTGCTCCATTCCTGCTGCTGCCACAAGCCTGCACCAACCCGCCTGGCTAAGACTTGACCGGATGACATCTGTCTTGCTGTTGGCGAATACAAGGCTGTGTTGTGGGACAGCAGCTTACCAAGAACTAGGATGCTCAGCTTCAATCTCAACGTACTCGGGTGCAAACATTGGGTCTGACGAAGTTAGCCGTTGATCTCTGCGTGCAGGCTCTCATTGCTCGTTGTGCCAGTCGGCATCAACACATTAGCACGTTTGGACATCATCGCTCTGACGCGGAGATTGTTGAAGAGCCACCCTAATCTATCTGGCTGGGCTGCCTGCCATAGCAAGTCATAAACATGCTTTCCTTCTTCAGTCTCGCACGTAACTTCAGCACGATAGGTAGCCTGGTCGCTGCTAGGCATTCCACAAATTCAATCTGGCTTTCCCACACCTTGATACTGTTTACACCATTCAAAAGCCTTCGAACTTTAGAGGCAGGCATGGTACCACGCATAATCTGTTCATGCAATGTTTGCTCATAAGCACTCGCATTGCGAACATTATTGCCATCGAAAAAATTGACCCCATGCATCTTGCCCAAGCTGGTCATCCTGATTGGCAAATTTAGCGAGGCAACGTCGCAATGCAGCAAACCCACTCGTTTTCTTGCGGGCTGAGGCTGATTCATAATGCATCGCGAGATGTATTGGGTCCAACATCAACGCTTCAAGGTCTGGCAGAACTCCAGAGAGCACATGGTGCAATCGACGACTGGGCGCATCAGTGGCCACAAACTACACTTGCAACGCGGCGTCTTTAAATAATCAAATGAATTAAGTAAATTAATGTCTTTAATAAGGGCGAATATTTCATTCATTTAATAATTGACTAAATATTTAGTCAATAATCGCATTATACTGATTATTCCCTCGTGGCCCCGGTTAGCGTCGTAGGTATAAACAATTATATATACGCGTATAACTATAACAACCGTGAGAAGCGATACCTTGGAAAACGATGTCAAATGATGTCAGTTGAGCTTTTGAATGAACCCACATTCCTCCAACATCGCACGAACTGATCCCCAATCGGTCCCTAAACCGCCCGCGTTGGAGACGGCAGCGGCCAGCTCGGCATAGCCCACATAGTGCATCCTCACTTCAGAGTCACTGGGTGGTTTCGCTGGGGATTTGCTGTGAAAACACCTCCAACTGATCATCGTGACCATGCAAATGCGACCCAAAAGCACACCGTCGGAGCTCTTCTGCACGTGTACTGTTAATCTTCAAGAAATTGCCGTTGGGTTCAGGTCCTGTTGGAACGGGAATTCATTCAGCTTTCCCACTAAGCTGTGCATCGACACGGCCATGCTGCTGGGTTAGCGACTTTAAACACGTCAACACAGCCATGGCCCATGGCCAGAGTTGCTACATCCCTCGACCTTCCACGAACCGGTATACAAAGGACCGACGGCTTCACCGCTTGAAGGCACACCCGCTTGAAGGAATACTGTTTAGCCTTGAGACTCCAGGCGCGCACAAAGGACCAGGGCACTTTTTCATCCTTTTGTGCATGAAGGAAGTCGCCCTCTAGGCCTACTTTGCCTACTCCTTTCTTCACAGCCTCCGGACGACATGCAGCCCTCAGTCAGTGTTTCAGCGGCTGCATTATCGGAACACGTTGCCCATTGCATCACCTCAGTCGGTGACAGTGTGCCGAGAGTTGTCTTCGTGAGGCTCAACAAGCTCAGGTTAATCCTATAAGCTATAAGCTGTACATAGAGGAGCCGCGCTGAATGGGTGAGAAGTTTGCCTCCATGAAGCTTGTACAGACTCCTGCACTCTCAAGCAATCACAAAAGGAACCATCAGGACTTGGGACCACTTTGTTTGTTTTGGGGTCTTGTACGTCCATTCGCGGCTTGCCTAAGTAGCCATCCCACCTATAATATAATATATAATTATACATATATATATATAAGGCTTACTTGGGTTTGCTGCTTAAGAAACCCAGTGAACGTTTTACACTTATGGGTCATGGGGAAAATATAGATCATAAGCAACACCAAGCTTACATTCCCACGTGCATATTCCACCACATGGCAAATCCAACCAGGGTCCTTGGTCCTTGCAAGGAGTTGCAGGGCCTACATCAATGAGTGTTCGACAAACAGCTCTTTCGGAATGGAATGGATATTAAGGGGGTGGAATGGCACATGCGAGACGAAACATGTACAACACATCCATCCCAAAAACATCGAACACCAATGACTGCGGATGAGTCTAAACGATGCCTGGCATGCACCAAAGAATCCGCGCACCGGTCGAGTAACATGGCTCCAAGCGGCCGATTCCGCCCAACGGGTTCGAGTCGCCGCCTTCATCTTCATAGACCTTTTCGGCGATGTATTTGCCGTACCTCGAGACCCGGGTGGGGCTCCGGCTGTGGCGGCCATGACTGGGTGAGGCGACCACCTCCTTGTTTAAGGCTTTCAGGTGCAGGCAGGCTCGGTTCTGGCTGAGCGACTAAGAGTCTCAGGGCAGAAAGGAAGCACATGTCTGTGCAAAACGCTTTCCTCACAGGTTGTCATATTACAGACCAACAGGTTTGGGAATCATAAACTGTCAACCATCATGTCCAATATTCAATCACATGGGCTGGTACCATGAGGTAACGGTCACAGCCCTAGTAACTATCAGGCTTTCTTCAAGCCTAGCGTCCCAGCTGACAAGCCTGGCTTCGGTTTGGTGGGACTAGCAGACTAGCAGCATTATCAGGAAGGAGCTGGGCTTGAGGTCCTACCAGCAAGGCATGTCTGGCATCGGTCGTTGTGCAATCTGCTGGCAGGAAGGCCACATCATGAACATGACGGGCACCCTGTCACACTGATGACATAACGATGGTGATGTTGCCAGCGCAACAAGCACCTCCCCCACAGCTACCCTTCTGGAAAGGACCACCCATGTCACCACTGGGTTGAGAAAACAAGAACAAGTTCAAGTTTTCAACGTCCATCTACAGGAGTCCATGCGATCGTCGATCACAGGGGGCTTACACTAATTAATTGAACTCATGATGCATGGAAGTGGAGTTCACCACGGTGAGGGGCCATGCCATCCACTTAACCATCCATGCCCTGCGGATCCCCTAAAGTGTCTCACAATGGTTTTGCACACCAATCATTTTCTCAAAGCATACTTTGGATCCTCTGGGATGATTTCAGGGAGTGGATGGAATTCGCACGGACTGCGCGGGCCGAATTCCAACTGCGACGTACCCCACGCTTCGCCACACACCGAGCCACCAGTCGCCAGCCACGCCCAGGTCGAAGACCCAGCCTCACGATTTTGGACTGAAGCTGGGAGGACCTCAATGCTGGTTACAAAGGAGTGATTTTGACTCCCATCCACTTCCTCCGTGGATCTGACGGACTCGCACCCCGACCTGCCTCCCTTCGTGACCGGCACCGGAACTGGTGGCCGTCCACTTTGGTCGTTCCTTCATGTTCCTCCGGTTCCTCCGCCATCATCCGGAGATCGGAAGATCCGGCACCGCCGAGGTGAACGAAGACGGGATACCTGGACCCTCATTCAGGCTCAAATTTCTGCCTGTTCAAGAAAATCTGCCTGAACCAGGGTTTGTCCTTAAAAACGGCCTGCGGGCAGAAATCATTTTTCGGGCAGAGTGGCAGATGCTGCAAATTACTTGCAAAGCACCTAAGTTGCAAATCTGCAGTTTTGAAACAATGTTCGACACTTCAATTCGGGCGAGAATCGGCGTGATTCGGGCGTGAATTGTTGTGATCGGGCGAGAATTTGTGTGATCGGGTGGATTTTGTAGACTCAAGTTGCATTGCATGTATTCATCACTCGCAGAATATATCTATAATGAACAAAAACACATTCGGGCGAGAATTCCAGGGTCGGGCGTGAAAACCATGTTCGGGCAGAAATACTGCCTGCATGGATTCGGGCTGGAATTCTAGCCTGGATGACTTCCTAGGTATAAATAGCCCCGCAAAAAGCGGTGATTCGGGGTGTCCATTCACCACCCCGACTGGGGGTCCTGAGTCCTGGTATGTTTAACCTAAGGTGGTTTCATCCATTGGCTCCGAAGATCTCCGAAGCACCCACCATTCGGCGTGCTGAATCGACACCCTTTGACCGGCTGGGGGGCTGGTATACTCTTCAGACCAATTGGCGTGGAACTTCTGAACCGAAGACCGTCCCTTCAGAGAGCTGAAGCTGCCTTTGCTGGCAGCGAGGCGGAGGTAGAGCCGATGTTTATCACCTGGCAGCGGGGGAGGCGGCCTGAGTTGGAGGGGGTTCCTCCAGGAAGTCTGCTTGGAGCTGCAAGAACAATGGTTTCAAATGACGCAAGCATGCGAAAAGCCTATAAGATGTTGTTGAGATGGAGAGTTCATATGACGAGGCAGCATTTGGGGGAGTGTGTCATCTAGTCTCAATCTTGTATACAATGAACATGCTTGTGGGGATTGTAGTTGTGGTTATATAGTGTCTGGCCAAGGATTTTTGGGAGCCTTAGTGTCATCATTAAGCTTTTGGGATAGCACGGTCATGAAATCCTTAGTGAGTGATCTGGGAGATGTCCAAAGGAGGTCTTTTGACTCCAAAGCCGTTTCCCCGGAAAATGAAGATGAACCTTTTTCCACCTGTTGCATTCTAGGTTTAAAGTTGCCCACTGACTGGGTAGGTTGTGCTAGTGACCTGAGGTGGCAAAAGACCTTCCAAGATCATGGATTATTTTGACATCTCCGGATCATCAGTTCGAACTGCTTTGACTACCATCCAAATCTAGAGATACTCGTGAGTCACACGTCCCTCGATCACAGGGGGTTGGTCTCAAAAAAGCGATGCCCCCGGGCCCCAGTGGAAGAGTCCAACCCTCCACCAACCGTCAAGAGAGAGACCGGCCCAAGTCGGAGACCGCGTTCGAACCCACGAGTTGCTTCCGGCGGCGGCCCGCCGGTACATGTGAAAGGGAGATGCCCAGAAGAAACATCTACAGTACCAAACCAAACACATGGTTGACACAGGTTGAAAGCAAACTACAGTACCAAACCCTAAACCCTATACCAAACCAGTCGTAGGCTGGCTACCAGGCTTTTAAGTAACATTGAATTTCATTGAATTTCCCTTCACACCCTGTGAATTTATTGTTTGATTTTTCTAGCTGTCAACCTTTTGACTTTCAGTTTTACATCTTTTGACTTCAAAGGTTCCTATTTGCGCACCCAATTGTAACATGTGTGGCAGCCAGCTCATTGTGAGACTCCTTGTTAATCAACTTCAGCAATTGCAACATCTTGCAACATTTGACTATCTTGATGATGTGAGCAACCCATAGCCACACAACTTTTGGCTGCGTCCTTAGCAATCCATGTTTCCTTCACTTTAGACCGTGTTTCCTTCGCTTGAAACCGAATTCTGCATGTCATTTCACGTCTTCTCCTGGCTCCCTGGCGTTGCCCCCTCCGCTCGGACGCGGGTCTCCGGTGCGTCGGACGCCGCCGCGGTGGGCGGGCGGGGCGACCGGGCGACGGCCTGTGGGGAGTTTGGCGCGTCGGACTTCCGAGACGTAGAAGGTTTCGCCTCCCCGGCGATTTGCTGGGACGAAGGGAGCCGCAAAAGCAGAACGCGGGGACGGAAAAGCAGAAAGCGGTGGGAGCACATGTTGGTTTGATGCATCGACTGTTCACTTGGGACCGTTGATCTAAAACACAACAGGAGCTCCGAGCTCCGCCAGCTCCGCGACTCTGGAAACCGGAGTGACTCCGCCTTTCTCGATGACTTTGTCCTCGAGCTGCGGCGCTTTGATGCTGGGCTCCTTCCGCACTTTGATGCGCGTCAGCGCACGCCACTGCTCACCTGATGAGGTGGAGATGAGGTGGGGGCAAAGGCGGTGTAACATCAACCAAGTTGTCTCCTACATTGTATATATAAATAACTATATATGCACATGTATTAAAACAGTATACAGTATACAGCAGTGTACCATTTCATGGTCCAAAATGTTCCAAAATCATATCAGCAGAAGGTCAAAACTGACCAGAAAAATGCCATGCCTAGGACTCCAACCTCCTGAGAATTGGCGGCAGCTTTCAAAGCTAATTAGTGCTAGCTTCTGAAGTCATTTTCTTTCAAGCCCGTAGATGATGACACACACATTTTTGGGAGGGCCACATCCTCAGCCCCAATTCCTCAGCTCGGCCAGCCTTCCTCAAAAGCTGGGCCCTCAAAGAGCTCAGCCACTTGGCCAAAAAGGCCCTCGGACCGATCGACGTGCGGAATCCAAGAAACACGGACGTGGAAGAGGACCTGCTTTCGAATTTCCTCGAAAAATGAGCGCAAGCGCCTGGTAGCCCATGATAATGATGATGATGATGAGGAGGAGGAGGAGGGGGAGGAGGAGGAGAGGCGGGGCGACGGAACCAGCAAAACGATTCTTTCCCCATTGTCCCCCACTTCGATCTGATCTCAGCCCAAGCGCGTTCTCTGCGAGCTGGCGCGTTCTGGCTGGAGTTCGTCGGGTCAGCCCGACCCGCCCGGCCAGTAGAAAGCTCGGTGTCCTGGGCGAGGGGATGGTGAAACACCTTTCGAGTGGAAAGGTCATGAGACTCCAACACCGGACACAGGACCGTTAGCTACCTTGAAAACCCAACCTTGCCTTTTTTTGTCATCGGCTGATTTGGAAGCAAAAAACGTACTCGTTCAAGCAAAAGTGTAATCGGGAGTGAAAAGTGCTATCGTGTCTTCCTGGCCCATTTCAGTGGACACAGATCCACTTCAAATTGACCCTTCAAACCTGACAAACTTGGGCCATATTTTTGTCCGGGTATTTCCGCCTTTGTTCCGCCGATTTCCGCCGGACGGGTATTTCCGCTCTTGTTTTTTGGCTTTCTTTTGAGCCCGGTGGCTGGGAACCCTTTGGATCCGGTTTCTCATGTAACATGTCTGGAATGTTGTGAAATACCAAAAAGTGTATGTTGAGATCTGTGAATTTGAGAAAGTCTCATTATTTCACAAAACATTGTTTTTCTCCAAAATGCCTAAAATAATGCACACTTATGGTTTACAGTATGGTTTACTAGGTATTACTGTAGTCTGAGTGAACACCCCATGAAGTAATTACTTAGACTTAGACTTGCTTAAAGAACTCGGGAGACAAAAAGCACAGATGTCCATAGATTTCACGTGCCAGGGATTTTCGCCCAGCTCAGGGGAAAAAAGACAACCCCTTTCTGCGCAGAAATCAGTGCCGGTCCAAGCGACAGGAAACCAACGAGGCCAAAACATACCTGGGAGTATATGAGACCAAAGACCAGCCCCGTGCGGTGTGTTCTTTATTTTTGACTTGAGTACCAGAAGTGGAATGGTATAGCCGAAAGGAAAACCACGAAAGAATGAAAATCTTAACATATAGCAAACAGCTGGTGAATTTCACTTTCATGATGATTTCAATAGTGTAGAGCTTATTCTCGGACTTTCAGGCAAGACCCCTAGCAAAGAAATGACATCAGCCTTCAGTCTCTCATGTGGGTGCTTTCTTCAAAATCTTCATCACAGCATCGGATCTTGAGTCACCCAACCCTTGGCTCGTCAAATGAATTGTTGGCAACGGGGTGCATGGATTCCAAGCCACCACGGTGCGGGTGGAGCACCGCCGGGGCAAGGTTCTAACCATGCATCTCGCATCGGAGGAAGGCAAGGTGCACATATTGTAAGCGAGGCCACAGAGATCCACTGAGGCCACTGTCCAAAGCTCACCCTAAGTGATCTTCCTTTAACCTTCCGAACGTCAATCACATGGAAGTGGAACGTGGCCCCTGGGAAGGCGATGGTTCCTGTACCAGGATCAACCAGGGTGGTTTCCACTTCCATGGGTCCATGTCGTGCGACGCATGTAGCTCAGTTCATCTCGAAGAACCGTTCGCCCCTCAGGGGTTATCCAAAGGTGGGCTCTCAAATCATGGACCCATTGGGGAGAGCGGCGTGTCGCGCTATCCATCCAGGGCACCAGCCACCAAACGCCAGCCATGGGGCGTCGCGTGAACGCTGCCATCCCGCGAGAAAGGCGGTGCATGTGTGAGAGGCGGGGGTGGGGGCGGCCACGGTACACACCGCAGTCGTACCCCCCAACAAGCTAACATTGGGGGTTCCATGTTAATCTGCAGGGGAGCAGGTACAAGTCCAAAACTCAAGACTCATGTGACGCATGTCTTTTTGTTCTGCCTGCCGGCTTTGGCACCCTGCAGCGTTTCATCAAGGTATTTCAAGGGTTTTATCAAGGGCCGTATTGCCTAGTTGACCGTTTCATCCAAGACGTACAGGGGTTAAATGATCCAATAGCATTCGAGTCACGTACCCTGGAGGTCAGTTGCAGGGTAAGGTCCCTGCACATGCGAAATGAGACAATTGCGAGCTGGTCCAGACCCTTGCGGTGCAATGTTAGCAGTGTAGTCAAACGAGAAGCTACTGCAGCTAGGTGCAGCTATGTACCCTGGTGTCGACATGGTCTTCTGCGCCTCTGTCACCCACTGTTCTGCGTATTGTACGGGGTTGATGAATGTTGATGACATTTGATGACTTGTTTTGCAGTGAGCATCAGCTGGTCTCGAGCAGCAAGAGAGGGTTGTTGCATGTATTTTCATATATTTATACTTAAGAGTTACTTGGCTATTTGGCCACTACATACATAGGTATCATTATTGTTCAATGTTTTCTGAGACTGTTCAATTCAATATATCAGAATCAGTTCTGTTTTGTTCATTGTGTGTTGTTTTTCAACTTGGTTGTTGATGTTGTCCTTTTTCGTATTGTATGCTGTAAATGTCACGATGTCAGGTGGACCTTCCTCAACCCATACTCTACCACTGAAAAAACGGTGCTCTAGGGCGAAGGTGTATGGCATAACACGACTTGCAACCATTCATCATTCATCCAGCAAACGGATGTTGATCCTATATGATCCTGGACAATGTGGACGGTTGATGGTTCCCCGGAAAGGGGTGTCAGTCCCCCCCTGAGCCCCGTGAGCCAGCAGGCGCGACACTGAGACGCCCACCCACCCTGGATGATTGGGTGCCTGAGCCCAGCGCGAGTCGGTCCGAGGAGCGTTCCGAGGCGTTTTTCGGAAGGCACGGGCCGGGCGAAGATGGAGATCCGGAGCCGCATGGATAGATCCTAGAGGAAAACACGCACTCTATGTAGGCAAATGGATTGACCTGCATGCGAAAGACCTGCATCTGAGTCACATCATTATGGATAATTTGTCCTTAAGTGATCCATCAGACTTTCTCAAAGGGCACATCTTCTTATATAAGTGAACATTTTCTCACAAACACCACTCGGCGCTGGGGCCCACCCGATACACAGAAGAAGGGTCCACAAACCATCATGGAACTGGAGTTCACCCCCTGTAAGGTACTCGGAACACTATTCCATGTTTTGGAGGACAAGTACTCTTCCACAGCGGGGCCGTGCTCCATGTTTTGGAGGGTCACCCCAAATCCCTGGCCCAACCCCCCCCCCGTGGATGCTGCGAGACGTCCGAACGCGGCACACGCCGGGCGTCCCGACTTGATACCCAAGGCCTGGTGTGGCCGGTGTCAACTTCAGTGCTTCGATCGAGCCAGCGAGCCACCACCCCCCGGGGGGGTTAGGAATCAACACGTATCATGTCCATATCATCCTACTGTCTTTGGTTTGCTTGGGCCAGGTTTGGATGGTGGTATTCTCTTGAGGCTTACCACAATTCATGGATGGCTTCATGCGCGATACAAATTGGCCCACAACGGAGAAGCGTTCGCTTGGAAAGGAGGAAAGCTGAAACTGTAACATGAGATGATACGAGATGCATATATTTGTGACTCAAAAGGCACAAGCTTCAGAGCCAAACGAAGTTTGATATTATTTTTGCCAATTGGTTTTGGTTGTACCCAGTTTTGTTGAGAACCAGTTTTTCCACAAGAAAAAAACCGTTTCGCTCAGCACATCCTGTTTCCCCACCTGGAATTGCATGGGGCTGAGTGAGGAATTCTGTGGCTTATCTGCAAGTAGCCCCTTAGACAAGGGCTTCATGGCAGAATGTCTTATGCCCTATGTGCCGATGGGCTGCTGGCACCGCCGAGTCTTGGGTCCTCCAAATGGGGTTCATTCGGTCCTCGCACGCGCCGCGGCCACGGCCTCAGTGAGCTTCGTCTTCAAGACCATCGCCGGCCTGACGGATTCCGTGACGCCGGCATCGACAAGTCCGGTTCACTCTTGGTCCTTGGTTGATCAGCCCCTCTGGAACAAAACCTCGGGTATGTTTTTTGGTGAATCTACCGGAGCTAATGCATGACTATATTGTATCGATCTATCTATATCTATCCATATATATATATATTTATATATTAAACATAGTTCATAAAGGAATCAACCATCTGATGGTGTGAAATATCTACCTGCTATATGTTTTTGAGCCATGCCTGAAACCATCGAACCGCGGACACTGCCAGCGAGACTCACCTCTTTCCCAGTCAAGAATCCTAGAATGACTTGGAGGGTGTTAGCTTGAGCAACTGCAAAGGCTAAGCCACAATGTCACAATATACCATATACTACATGGATAACACATTGATAACACAAAGTCTTGTCATGTGGTAGTTACCCAGGGCTCACGCATGCATGTCTGAGTACCATAAGCATTCCCACGTCTTCCTCGGGTCTGGCTGTCTGACTTTTGCTGGTCGCCTGCGGATTGCAGCTGGTGCGCTGCCGCAACTGCAGTGTCTTCGTCTGAACCAAAATCTCCAGGCCATGTCGGGCAAAACGAGCAGCCAAAAACGCTTGCTGAATTTCTCATTGTCGGTCCAAACGCTTGCTGAAACGATCCGTTGTCCACCATGGTCCACATTCTGAGGGTGTTGGAGAATGCGTTTGCCAGTTTGTAGTTTGTGTAAATGTTCATAAATGTTTGGGGTATATGGTATTGAATGGTATTGACGTTGGGACGTGCCAGCAATGACAGTCACCAAATCTTATACAAAGAGTATTTATAATATACAGAATCTGAATGTGGGCGGGTCCAATGGGTGTGTGACAGCGATCCGCCTGACGGAGAGTGGAACAAATGGCCCCTCGAAAGGACGCACATCCTCTAGAAACCAGGCATCTTCATCTGCCATCGAAACGAGGATCGTGACATGCCCGACTCTCTTTTTGTGGCGTGAGCGCTCATCATCTCCACTGGGTGGAGCGAAGTGGCAAGCCGGTGGCAGGGATTGAGTCAGAATCTGGCCCAAACCATCCCTGATGGTCATAGAGGCAAATCGGGCGGAGTTCTTCACTACCAAAAACTTGTAAATTCAAAGGCTGTTGGGCGGTGGCTCCCAGCCAGTGCGTCCGAGGGTTTTAGAGAGAAACACATCCAAGACACCGGGTGAATTGCTCACCTCACCACCCTCACTGTTGGGTTTGTCGACCCTGACTCTCTATTCTTCACATGGTGCTGGTTTCTGAATGGAAGCAGCGCTGGGAGCCACATGGAGACCCTAGCTGTCAACAGCCTCAAGTCTTCAAATGCTTGGAGGATCAAGTTCCGCCTTTAAGCGGTTCCACCTTTTCCTCAACAAATTACAGCCCAGGTCAATTTCATTGATAGGCCGTCGAATCTGACTGGATGACGGTTTGGCACGGTGGCAGCCCGTCATGCACGCGGCGACGTTTCGACTTTGAACAACAACAATGCTGGCTGGGTCGTGGTTCAACTGAGTCCAGTTTGTCAACTGTTGCGCCGCTGTCATTCAGCCAGCACTGTAGGAATACCCTCAATTCAAGCTGGAAGCCCGCAAAGGCAGCAAATGCAAACCTGTTCTACCGCAGCTGAAATGGTCATTGCCACAAAAAAAACATGGTTTAACCGCCGCCTCACCGCTGAGCAACTATAAATAATTGTAGACGCTACCAAAACCGAATGGGACGGAATAATAAACAGTTTTCGCCAAATTATTCACACACCCGGATTAGTTTAATGGGTCGGATTTTTGTTTTTACTAACTCGTTTTTCACCCAGTTTTTTTTTGGAGAGTTGATTGTTTTTCTATTGTTCTGCTATTGCTCACCCTTTACCATCCTTACTTAACTCTCCTGAGGTTTGCTTGATTCATGGAATTCTGACCTGAAAGTCGTTTTCAAAAACGCATATTATTAAAACTCAACGATTTTCATTGCTCCAAACAATGTTAAAAGTTGGTAGTACGCAAACCAGGGTAATTGAATGGTATGAATTGTTTAGGGGGTGGGGTTAATTAGCAAACTTGGAGCCCTACCGGAAAAACAAAACTTTATCATTGTTCTGCTATAGCTGCCCTTTCAAATCCTTACATATCTCTTCTACTACTACGACTACGACTACTACCACTACCACTGCCACTACCACTGCCACTACCACTGCCACTGCCACTGCCACTACCACTAC